AATTTTCGTAGATTTGCAGAATTTATCGCGAGATGATGCATGAAATAGTCGGAATAGTCACTCTTTCATATATTAATGCCTTTTTGACCCAGATTCTCGAAAATATTTTTTTCTTTTTATTATTTTTTAAACATAAAGAAATCTGAATTTGTAAATAAATTATTCTGTTTATTTTTATATGAAAATTTTTATATGTTATTAATTTAAGAATGTATTATTAAGAAACATTACGTACAAGCAATTTTTATAACATAAAATATTGAAGTTTGCTTTTAATGTAGATATTAAAGACTTTCTAAATTTTTTTTTATGTTCATCGATAAGTTCTTTACAATTAAAAAGTTAGATGCCTGAGTTTTGCAGTGCCAAAATATATGGTCAAAAAGAAGTTAAAAGATGCTAAGCAAAATATCAATATTTAAAACGACTCAGAGATGAATAAATAAGATATTTAAATTAGCAGATCCTTTTTAACCATTTAAAAGATGCTTTTGACTACGTTATTTTGTCACGTACGGACTAATGGCGATGTTAATCTCAGACCGGACGTCCAAATATGTTGCGCTGATAACAATCAGCTCGAAACGACGGTAATTTTACATAACTGCGCACTAATTGCACATTGTCATCGCACTTGTGCATCGTATTACCACGGGAATGTTATATACATTTTGCGCTAAATGTTCGTAGTCCGTAAGCAGCACGAATCAAATATATGTATGTATCTCTGACATGTATGCATCTTCTGACGATTTATCCCTGCACGGAAGAAAAACAAGAAATTTCCCATCTTTTATTAAAACGAATCCGAATATCGATTTATTCTGTTTTGCAAGGATTAATTAATCCCATCACTGATGTTATTTTACATTCAGAATTGTGAAAAATTATGTTGATAGAGCTTATTTTATCAACAATTATTATCACAAGCTAAACAGAGATCATTGGAACAGAACTGTTTTTTTTAAAGGATCAAGTGGTATGGTGTTAAAGATAGAGAAAGAAAAATATGTTTTAACAGAATTTTATTTTGTCAGTACATCACGAATGTAACTTGTGAAAAAGAATAGTTTTCCAGACGCGCGTTCTAGTAAATCGAGAAGAAGCCAGTATCACGTACACGAGGATAGTCTTTTTGTGTATCCGTGTTATTTTTAGATATTTTTTATTTTTTTTCCTTAATCGATTTATGAAGATTTTATCATCAATCTTCATAATTTTTTCTTTCTGATAGATTTTTGTAAGAATCAGAAATTGGGCTGATTTTAAAAATGGTAAATTCTGTTTTCAATTACATTAGTTGTCTTTTTTGAGAGATATCAAACCAGTGAAACACGAGATGAATACATTATCGAGAAGATATTCTCATCTAAGACGGACACAATATCCTGAAAATATTTTCAGAATATTCTGATAATTTTTATGTAATATACATTTATGTATCGTAATATTGTAGGAATTTTTAGAAGATATCTGAAAATACTACTGAATTCCCGAAATACATATTTTGATGATTCTACAGATGTCGCAATCTCAAAAACTCGGAAAATATTCCGAAAAATTTCGGTGTATTCCGTGGGATTTTTTATACATATATAAGTTTAAATTCGACTTATCTCTCGCTAGAGTTACAGAAGTACTCTTAGAAAAGTTATAGTTATATACGTCTTACTCTTTTCTCGAATTATTCGCAGGAATATCTTCTCATCTCGCATTGATAGTTCAATATTAACAATATCAAAAGTCCTCGTGTCCGCCCTTTGAAAACTCTCTGACGCTTTTTAATTAGCGACGGAATATATTACATATATAATATACATATTACATATCGTAATTATATTATGCCTGGATGCTTCGTCATTTCTGTATGTCTTTCTTTCTTTCTCTGTCGCCTATCTTCTCATATAAATACTTAGCAATTATTTTTTTTATTTACGGGCTGCTTATGTTTAATTGCTATCTTGTCTTATTTGAGACTGGTGTTAACAATCGCACACACCGCACGAGAACCGCACATTGCGATAATGATAGGTGTATTAAAAAAATACTTGCACTCCACGCTTTAAACGATTTCTTATCAACCTAACGTAACAACAGCTATACAGTAATAATAAGTCGTAAAACTACATAATTATATAACTGTCGCAATTATACGCCGCGAAGTATAATTCTTCTCTCTCTTTCTGTCTTGAGAAATAAATCTCCAATTACATTCCGTGTGTGCGCAAAAATCCATGTGCATGATATAGGTACGTATAAAAGTTTCGTCTTCTTGACGGAAGCTCTTCAAATCGCAAAACTGTTATTCAGCGAGGTTCTCGTACGGCAATCGAGCGCATCAAATTTGTCTGGCATATTCATGACACGCGAAATGTCCCGCGTAAATGAACTCAATCACATTTTTAAAATATAAGAGAGAAAGTTTAATTTGATTACACACAATTCCGTGAAACAAAACATCTTTTATATTACATTTTAATATTGCGACTGAATCACTTTACACGACACACCTGAGATACAGCGTGCTCCGGAAAATTATAAGTTCAAAATAAAATGACCTGGTTCTTAGGATTATTTAACAATCCTGTTATAAATTATTTTCTCATTATAATTTAATTGAATATGTTCAATGTAATAGATATAAAAATAGAATATTTTACATTGTAGATAAAAGAATTCAGATGAAAAAAAT